AATTTTTTTTAAAAAAAAATACTGGATTTTTTCCCTATAAATACCTATCAATTTTATTCACTTTCCACACCAAATCTTCATACAAACTTTTCTCCTTCCAATATTTTTTCCATTCCACTCACATTTTTCTACTAGTTTCCATTTGTATCAAAAAAATCCGAGAATTTTATTTGAAATAAGATACGTGGCAACCGAGAATCTCATTCAAAAATATTATCTGGAAAGCTTATAAAAATTAATGGTTTAAAGTATGAAAAAAAGGTAACGATTGATGTAATGTCATGAATGTAAAATGTTATATTTAACTCTATCACACAAAAATAAAGAAATATATCATATATATAACTTATTTGAGGCTTTATTTCACATACCAATCCCGCTACATGCAATTTCTTGTAAACAAGATATTTGAGGATTTATTGTTTACCTTTTAATTTCATTTTCTTTGGAGTATGAGATAATTTGACAAGAATCAAGTAAATTCCTCGCATGTTTAGAGGGAATTTTAGTGTACATATTTACAATGACATCCTCAACTTACCTTCTTCAACTAATGTTTCCTTTGTCATCCTCACTCCCAAATAAATGCATATGGAAATCAAAGCAACAGCAATTGCCACAAGGCCCACAAGGGTACCGATATCAAATTCTGGAGCTGAACTTTCAAATTGATGTTCCAGGATTAACACAACAAAAATCTCAAGGTAGAATTAGAATACATGACAGAGTTTCTCCAAATTGAAAACAAAGGGGATTAATTGAAATCAAATGTAGCCCAGATGACCAATTCACATCTTTTATTCTTCGAACACGCATCTTCTTACCTTGAAAACAATGGTAACTGGGCAGATCTGGTGTTCTCTGAGCAAATCCATGTATCGTTTGATTCGAATTCGAAACGTTTGAGCTTCTTGCTGCATGCTTTCTAAGTTACTTGAGTAACGTAGCATGCATTTTTTGTCGTAGAAAAGGGCTGCTCATGAGTTACAGAATGAACAAAGGAACAACAGGAACAACAGAAAACTTGGCGAAAACAGTGTATTGTTTGCACCATGCACTCTTGTAATATATAGGAACATTTGTCTCCACGAATGAGCCCCCGTGCTGTGACCACAGTTTTGTCGTTTATTGTAATTTTTGATTTATAATGTGTTGGTCAAAAAAATGAAGGGAAATAAACATATAATAATACTGCTGCTTTGAAGTTTGTGTTTAAAAAATACAACCTGTTTGACATGTTTTCATTCCTTGATCAACCTATATGAATATGAACATGGCATTAACAAATGAAATTGCTTGAAATTGCTTCGTTTTCCCTGTTTTGCTTTTGCTTTGGACCAAATATCATGTGTTCACTACACTCGCAACAACTTGGACATGGTCAACTGCGGCTGCCAAACCTCAACTATTTGAAGAATAAAATGGTGGATTTGGAGCTGACTAGCGTTTTTCCTTTGTCTTCCTCACTCCAAGGTGGCTTTGAACATAAGCAGGCAAGACGGCCGCTTAGAGCCTCTAAATGAGGAGGAGAGGGGACCCCCAATTTATATAAATTTCTAAGCATCTAGGCAAATTATACTTTGTAATATAGTTCATACAACTTGTTGTAACAGGTTCCAACTCAAAAAAAACTGCATCTAAGCAAATTACCTAGTTGAATAAAATCAATAAATAAAAGCCAATTTTCAAGTTTCTTAATTCTGCAAAAACAACTCGCGACAAAAAAACTTACTGGATTTACCATTTTTTTCTCAATGATTCAATGAAGTCTGAAGTCTGAATTATTTAACAAATATGGTGATGACCATTTCTCTTTTATTAATTTTATGCCATTAAGAAGAGGGATTTGGAAAAGAAGCAAAATCATCAAGAATAACTTAGGAAGGTTGTGAATCAATATCTTAGGAATAACTTGGGCATGGCTCACACTTACACAAGCAAAATCATCATCCACAAAATTAACTTCTCTAACAATATGCTGAAAAAAAAATACTCACAAACGATAAGGCTCGATGATGAATATCCTTGATAATAGTACGAATGAAATAGAACATGGACCAGCAATGCAGTCAATAATGAGCTAAAAACGCCTTTAATCCATATTTTGTTGCATCCAACCCGAAATGAGAAGAGCGTCCTTTTTTTTTTTTTTTTTTGGGAGCATATGATGTATAAAATAGAAGTACTTTATAAAAAGTATAAAGATAGTGTTCGGGGGTGGTCAAAATTCACCTAATCCGCCAAGGAGGAATTCCTAGTGGCCGAGAATTCCTAGTGGCGCAATTCCTAGCGGCCGAGAATTCCTAACGGCGGAATTCCTAGCGGCCGAGGTGTTTTCTTCAAAGGCCATGGTGCCTTCTCAAAAATGCAGCCGATGTGTTTTCTTCAAAGGCTGTGGTGCATTCTCAAAAATATGGCCGGACACTTCTCTTTGCAAAAATGGTCGGACATATCCTTGCAAAAGTGGCCGAGCATATCCTTGCAAAATTGGACGAATGCTTCCTTTTGCAAAAGTGGCCGGGCACTTCTCAAAAAGTTGGGCGGGGCACTCCTTTATATATAAAAAAAGGAGAGGTTTTTTTTTTACTTTATATAAATAAAAATAATTAATTTTAAACATATAAAATTAGTGTATTTACTCTTCTTTTTTTTGCCAACTTCTTTAGTTTAATATATGTAATTAAGTAATATCTTAGCCTTTTTAATTACTTTAATTAGTAATTATGTTTTAATTATTATTTCTTTAGTGAATATTTAAATATTTTACACATTTCATAAATTAATTAATAAATAGTAATTAATTATTTTAAATTATTTTGTGGAAATTTTTTTTTATACAAAATTAGTTTGGGTAAATCCAAGTCTCGAAGAAAAAACCCTAGCTTCAGAACTTGTTCCAAAACCTTTCTCGACCCTCAAACCCTAACCCTAACCCTACTAAGGAGTAGATACTTTCTCTTCTTTTCCAATGTGGGACTCAAGTTTATGTATTTCAATCAAACTCCAACAAGTGGTTGATATTGTCGAATCACGTTGTGACTTGGATTTAAGTTTCGAGGGTAAAATCCATTTTTGGAATACTAAAATATTTGGGTACCAAAACCAAATTTCTAGGATTTTTATTAAAATATTTAATACTAATTATTCACTAAAGAAATAATAATTAAAACATAATTACGAATGAAAGTATTTAAATAAGGCTAAGATATTATTTAATTAATAAAAAAGGAAATTTTAAAAAGGATGTTTTAAGAGTATAGCCGCGCGGTGATAGTTTTTTTATTTAAAGCGTATAGCCGGGCGGCTGTACTATATAAATAGAATATTCAGCAGTATAGCCGCGCAGATATACACTATAAATAGAATTTTAAGAGTACAGCCACAGGGCTATACTCTTTAAATATAATATTTTAAAAGTATAGTTTTTTATTTAAAGAGTATAGCCGCGCAGATGTACTATATTAATAGAATATTCTAGCAGTATATCCGCGCAGATATACACTATAAATAGAATTTTAAGAGTACAGTTTAAATATAATATTTTTACAGTATAGCCGATCGGCTATACTCTATAAATAGAATATTTTAATAGTATAGCCACGTGGCTATACGTTTTAAATAACATAGTCTTGATTTCTCTTTTTTAATTACTTTATTTAGTAGTTATGTTTTAATTATTATTTACTTAGTGAATAATTAGTATTTAAATATTTGATTACATAAAAAAAAAAATTAAATACCATTTATTAAGTAATATAATTTAGGGAGTTAATTAAAATATTTAATTATTCACTAAAGAAATAATAATTAAAACTTAATTACATATGAAAGTAATTAAATAAGGCTAAGATATTATTTAACTACTAAAAAGAAAATTTATTGGACCTAAGGCCATCTCCAGCCATAGGGCTAAATATAGTACATGGCTAAAAATTTAGCCCCCCAAAATATTAATTTTTTAAAGAATAGTGCAGGGCTAAATTTTTCCATCTCCAGCTATGCAGGGCTATATTTTAGGGTCCCTCATATTTTATTATTTTGAGAAAAACTATGGTACAACACTCATACCTTCCACAACTATATATTGTTTAATTTAATTAAACTACTGTTTAATATATTGTTATAAATTTTTTTTAAACAACACTTGAAAACATTTGAAAAGCTAACCATATTTATTATTATTTTAAAAAAAAAATTGGGAGTGGGTAGGTCCAACGGTCATTTTAAAAATCTGACTACAAATTTGAAAAGCTGACTATTTTTATTATTTTAAAAATCTATATAAATCCAGCAAATGTAGCGTCCTAGGGATAGATGGCAGTTGAAAAGCAGATTATGGGTCCCGCTACAAATTTGGCCCATTCCTAAAGCTGGGCTACATATGGCCTGGTTAGAGGGCTAAATGGCCAAATGTGGCCCTCCAAGTTTGGCCAAAATTTTATTTAGTCCATAACTGGAGATGGTTTTGGTATTATTTTAGGGCTATATTTAGGAAATAGCCCATGGCTGGAGATGGCCTAAAGATAATAAACTTATATTTACTTTTTAAAACGACGAAATTGCGTCGGCACATGTCCATCTTGGTGAAATGTGCCGAATTAGATCTCTCCCGACGACAGTTTGTTGGCAGAGGTGAATTTCATTGGGAGAGATTTCTAGCTTTAAAAAAAAAAAGAATTTTATTTTTAAACATATAAAATTAGTTTCTTTACTCTTTTAATTATTACTTCTTTAGTAAATATTAAATTTTTTTATTCATTTCATAAATTACTTAATAAATAATAAATAATTATTTTAATTATTTTGTGGACCATATTTTATTTTTATTTATACAAAATTAGTTTGGGTAAATCCAAGTCTCAAATCAAAAACCCTAACTTCCGAACTTGTTTCAAATCCTTTCTCGAGCCTCGAACCCTAACCATAAACCTAATAAGGAGTAGATATTTTCTCTTATTTTTCAATGTGGGACTCAAGTTCATGTATTTCAATCAAACTCCATAAAGTAGTTGATATTATCAAATCACGTTGTGAATTGGATTTAAGTTTCGAAGCTAAAATTCATTTTTGGGATACTAAAATATTTGGGTACCAAAACTAAATTTCTAGGATTTTTATTGAAATATTTAATACTAATTATTCACTAAATAAATAATAATTAAAAGATAATTACTAATGAAGTATTTAAATAAGGTTAAGATATTATTTAATTAATAAAAAAGAAAATTTTAAAAAGGATATTTTAAGAGTCTAGCCGATCGGCTATACTATATTAATAGAATATTCTAGTAGTATAGCCGCCCGGATGTACTCTATAATAGAATGTTAAATGTACAGCGAAATATAACCAAATACAACAATATCAGATCCGCAAGATCAAGATCTGATCTTGCATACATAAGATCTGCTAGATATGTGATGGTGAAAGAAATTGAGAGAAAAAAAGAGAGGAAGAGAGATAAACAACACAGAGAAGAGAGAGAGAAATGTGAAAGAAAAAGAGGAGAAGTCGGAGAGGAAGAGAAAGAAGAGAAAAGGAGAAAGAGGACATAATTTTTGAACGAGGAGAAGAGTAGACAAAAAAGAAGAATAGGGAGAAGGAAAAGGGTCATGGCAGAAGAGGAGAGAAAAAGACAAAAAAAGAGAAAGATAAGGTGGACTTGGGCTTTTTAGTTGGTGAAATGGGCCAATGAACTTGGTATAAGGTTTTTTTTCTGTCTGAAACTTCGGATAGGGCTTTAAGCATTGAGTTTTTGGTATATTTAAAAAAATATTAAGACAATTGGTCCGGTTTGGCCCAATTCGATTTTTCATTACAAAAATTGGAATTGGAACTAGGGGTGGCATTTTAGACCGAAAAACCGAAAAACGGCAAAAACCAACCGATAATTTACTGCAATGGAATCGCAATCGCGGGAAACCGAACCGCATTTGCGGTATGAAGAACCAAACTGCATTTGCGGTTGCGGTTGCGGTATTTGATTTTCAAAACTTGCGGTTATCACAAACCGCGACTATATTTTTAAAAAAAAATTATACAAGGAAATGGAACATATGACAACTTGTAAGTAATTAGTTTATTTTTGCTCATGTTATTTATGCTTCTTCTTATAATAAAATGTACTAAACTTATGTTGTTTTATTTGTAGATAGCATTGGTGCTCAAACAACACAACGGGGTCCTTCAAATCCACTCACCACCACCAACACATGAGTTTGTAACATTGGTGCATTGCATTTTCCTTTTAGTTTGTAACTTTAATTAACTTTGAATTGGATTTTTCCTTTGGGTTGTAACTTTAATTCATTTTGCATTGTATTTTCCTTTTGGTTTGTAACTTTAAAGGATTTGGAATTGGAATGCTTGAGAAGTTGAGGTTGTGAGTGCTTGAGAAGTTTAACTTTAATTGGAATGCTTGGAATTGTAACTTTAATTTTCTTAGGTTGTGAATGCTTGAGAAATGGAGGAGGTTGTGAATTTATATATGCTTGAGAAGTTGAGGTTGAGAATTTATTTCTTTACGTTGTAATTTATATTTTTGGGTTAAAGTATGCTTGAACTCAAAATGCTTCAAAAGAAGTATCAAAATTAGGCTTAAAATGTGGAAGATTGTATTTTTATGACACAAAAAGAACTTGTGGTTTTAAACCGCTAATTCACGGTAACCGACCGCTTTTTGCGGGGTTTCAAAAATCACCATACTATAAATAGTCGGTCGGTTTGCGGTTTGGGCAAAAATTCGCGGTTACCGAACCGCAACCACCCCTAATCGGAACTGTACCAAATCGGTTTGGTTTTTGGTCAACTTGGTCCATTTTTTGGGGCCCAATTCAACTTGGTTTTTTGGTTTGAATGCCAACCCCTACTTAAAATCACATAAAGTAATTATATGGAGAAGTCATTCTCCATAGAAATGATTATTGGCCTATCCATAATCACTCCTAAACGAACCTTTAATCAACTGAGGCATTTTGAGATATTTTGAATGTTTCACCATTCTTTGTCTATACCTTTATATATAGATAAATGAAAAAAAATGTTAAATAAGTAAATAAGTTAATGGGTCATATTTGTGTTTAAAATAATTTCACATGATTAATTTAAAACGCAACACATCGTCAATTATGACTTTATATGAACATTCATGCATTCATATCAAATTAAATATTTTACAACCAAAAAATCAAACCAACATTAGTATAATATATTATTGGATTGGTATCTAATCCTCGACTTGACTTTTCTTTCTCATAAAGTACCTTATTTATATTTTATCTAATAAACTATAAGTATTCTCCCAAAAAACACACTAGAGTCGTTTTCACTTTGAAGGGGAGGAAGCCAATGTTCTTCCTCCCCTCTCCCCTTCTCCCTTCCTCCCTTCCTCCCTTCCTCCCTTCTCATTTCTTCCCCCATTTTTAGAGATAGAAGGTTTCTTCTATTTGTTTTCGTTTTGTTACGATTTTCCTCCACCCATTACAGGCGGTTGCATCTCGATGTCAGATCTTCACATGCATTTCGGTGCCATATCTCTACAACCATCCTTTTTTGTGGTTTCTTTACGTTTGGAATAAGTCGCAGAGACTCTTTGAGTTTTCTGTGTAGTTTTCATCTCTCATTTTGTGAGAGCTTTTCTCCTCTCCTTTTGTGAGAGTTTTATTTGTATTGTTATGGTTTGGTTTTTTCAAGTGTTGTCTCTATTTGGTTGTTCTGAGTTTGCAATCTTAGTTAGGATGCATATGTCAGAGTTTCTTCGATTATGTGTGATCGTTAGTGGAGGCGCACCAGATTGTCTTAATTTTGATGTTGGATCGCTCCATTATTGTAATGGCTTTTTATGGCTAGTTTGTATTGGTCTTTTGTGGCTAGTGGCTTTTTTGGTTGAATTATGAATACAATTGTCACATCCCGGATCGGCTCCGCCGTTGCATGATATTGTCCGCTTTGGGCCCCCCTCTCTGGCCCTCACGGTTTTGTTTCTGGGAGCTCACTACCAACTTCCCAGTGGGTCACCCATCCTGGGATTGCTCTAGCCCCCAACTCGCTTAACTTCGGAGTTCCCATGACTCTGAAGCCAGTGAGCTTCCAAAAGGCCTCGTGCTAGATGGATGCGGGCATGTACATATAAGACACATCAACCCTCTCTCTGTTGGTCGATGTGGGATCTTACAATCCACCTCCCTTAGGGGCCCGATGTCCTCGTCGGCACACTCGCACCACACGGCAGAGTGGCCCTGATACCAAATTGTCACATCTCGAATCAGCTCTGCTGTAGCACGATATTATCCGCTTTGGGCCCCCCTCTCTGGCCCTCACGGTTTTGTTTCTGGGAGCTCACTACCAACTTCCCAGTGGGTCACCCATCCTGGGATTGCTCTAGCCAGTGAGAGTTCCCATGACTCCGAAGCCAGTGAGCTCCCAAAAGGCCTCGTGCTAGATGGATGCGGGCATGTACATATAAGTAGGGGTGGGCATAAAAACCGATAAACCGATCAAACCGATCGAACCAACCCAAACCGAACCGAAAAAGAGTGTTTTTTGACCAAACTGAAAAAGTCAAATCTGGACCTGAACCGAACTGAAGGTCAACGGTTCGGCTCTCGGTTTTAATTTTTTCAGAACCGGTGGACCTGAACCGAACCGGTTAATATTTAAATATATATAATTTACACGTGGCCTCATGTGATTGGCCATAAAAAGAGGAAGTGTGAGAGTGCTTGCACCAGATCCCTTACGCAATTTTTTTTTTGTTTTCTATGTTTCTCAGTTTGTGATCACCATCTATTCCTCTCCTCCGGTTTCTTCTGTGGGGTTCTCTCTCAAATCAGTCAAAGGTGAGAGCATCATCTTCCTTTGAATTTAGGGTTTATTCTAAATTAAATTTATGGTTTATTTTCTTTTAAATTAGGCTTGTCGATTTGGTGGTTGAGGTTGATGTGTTGCTTTTGTTTGAGTAAAAATATACTTGGTTTTCATTTGATGGGTCGGTTTTGTTATGGCTTATGTATAATTTTGAGATGAAAAGGCAGGATATTTTCATTTTGGCGTTGCATTTAGATTATTAAAAGCACAGCCATTTTGTTATTTTGTTAGTGAAGCATTAGGGTGCGGTGATCTACTATTTGAGCCTCAACTAATACATCTTTGTTCTGTTTTGGTGTTCCAGGGCTGCATAGATGCAATAAAAGTTGCAGGCTGAGATGGACTAATTACCTTAGGCCTGGGATCAAACGTGGTAACTTTACTGACCATGAGGCGAAGATGATCATCCACCTTCAAGCTCTTTTGGGCAATAGGTAAACCCAACAAACACCCCTTTTGCTAAGAAAAGTCTCATATATTTTTAGTGTAATTTGTAATAGCTATTGAAGTTATGATTTGTTAGTTTCATTATATAAATTAGGGCTGATAGCATTTAGGTTCTTCTGTTAAATTATTCTAATTAGGGCTGCTACCAATTAGGTTATTCTGTTAAATTATACTGTTGTGATTATTTGGTTCTGTCCTTGGTTCTGTTTTGCTAAATTAATTTTTGTTTTATGAAATTAGGTTCTGTCAAAGTACTAGGTTTTGTTTCTGCTGCTGCCATTCTGTTGTTATGCTACTGTATTAATTATGTTTATGTTTCTTTTTGTTAAATAGGTTATGCTACATACATGCTAGGTCTGTTTTGATTGGTTAGTAACGTTAGTTTCTGTTTTTTCTTTTTGTTTCTGTTCAAAGATGATCTTTGCTAATTGGAGTCTGTTCTGAAATTTTGGGGTTCAGTTCAAATTTTGGTTTTAATTTTAGGATTTTTAGGGTATTTGGTTTGAATTTGGTTTGAATTTATGAAAGGAATGAAGCTTGTTTAGAACCTAACCCTATTTTTGTTTTCATTCACAGTTGTTTAGCATCTCTGCTGCTGAGCTTTGAAAGTTTCGAAAAGCTTTTGCTTAAATGGAGGTAAATAAGTTTTTTGAATCTGTTTTGAATATGTTTTGTATCTGTTTTGAATCTGTTTTTTGGATCTGTTTTGAATTTGTTTTGTATCTGTTTTCATTGACAGTGTGTGATTTAAATCTGTTTTGTATCTATTTAAATCAGTTTTTTGGATAATATATATGTTGTAGTCTGTTGATGGATAGGAAACTCTATTTAAATCTGGTTTTTGGATAATATATATGTTGTAGTCTGTTGATGGATAGGAAACTCTGTTTAAATCTGGTTTTTGGATAATATATATGTTTTAGTTTGTGTTAATTCTTGTAAGTGTTGTGTAGGTTGTTTTGTTAAGGCTTTTGGAAGAATGGATGCAGCAGATTTTTTGCAAGGATATTATCTTCATGTGTATTTTTGTGATGAGTTGTAATCTTTAATTTCATAAGTTTAATTTGGTTTGTGTATTATTTTTTGTAATGGTTTGTAAGAGATTATATTTCCTTTCCTTGGTTGGTTGGTTAAATGTGTGAATGTGAGATTCATTTAGTTTAGAAATTTAGATTGGAATGATGGATTTTTATAGGTTGAATTTACATAATTTCAGGTTTTGAAAGCTAAGTAAAAAGTGTTTTGGGCTTGTTCATAAGAATTTAATAGGTTTTGGCAATTTGACAACAAAAAATGTGTTTTGGCTGAATGAAAGTAAATCTAGGTTTTGAAAGATAAGTAAAAAGTGTTTTGGGCTTGTTCATAAGAATTTAATAGGTTGTGGCAATTTGACGACAAAAAATGTGTTTTGGCTGAATGAAAGTAAATCTGATTTGGGCTTTGTTTTGATAAAAAAAAAATGATTTGGGCTTTGTTTTGATAAAAAAAAAATGATTTGGGCTTTTTTTTGGCGAATTAAATAAAATTTGGGCTTTTGAAAATGTTAAAATTGGGCTCAAGCCCAAACCGATCAGAACTCAGAACCGACCCGAGAACCGAGGCCTATTTTTAGTTCGGCCCAATTTCGGCTTTCACCCTAGACCCGACCCGACCCAAGAATCGAGCTCTCCATCGGTTTGGCTCACGGGTCGGCCAAATTTTGACCCGACCCGAACCGTGCCCAGGCCTACATATAAGGCACATCAACCCCCTCTCCGTTGGTCGATGTGGGATCTTACAACAATTCTAGAATTTATCCAAAAAAATAAAATAAAAGTATGTTTATTTATTTCTCATGTGTTTATTGACACACGGATATTGGAATGATTTCAATTCTTAACTTCCCATACGTTTACTAACATATAAGGAATAAAATTTATATGGGTTTCATGTAAAATTCATAATCAAATTGAAAATCATGAATGGGATCAACTAAGGGGGAGTAGTTGATCCAATTCCCATACCTTGATTACCCTATCTAAGTAAACAAGTTAACACGACTCACATCTAAATAAATAAATAATAAATAATAACCACACACCTAAATATAAAACATAAAAGCCAAACGCAATGACTAAACGTTAAATTTGACGTCTGGCACCATTTGTTCTTACCTCCTTGAGGCTTTCAAAGTTTTTCTAAGCACACGTCTCCAAAAATCTTATTATTTCTCCCCCTTTAACTATCATGCACAATATAATTCCAAATTACTACTTTGTAACAAAAGCACAGATATATAGCATATAAAGCAGTCTCATATTTGAGAATTTTATGTGTTTTGAAGAAAACTCAGGTTGTATAACCATCACATCGTGCTCTTAAGAAAGTATGATGGCTATAATTTTGAAAAATCATACTGAAATTCTAAAAAAACTATTATATGCCAGTACTTAGATGTTTTCCTTTATGAACCAATTCGTCTATGTCTCTCTGGTCAATAACCCTCAAAATTCGGAGGATTATATGTAGTTGATCTTTTTTATTCAAACATTTTGCAAGCTTAGAAGTTATTTTTCGTTTGGACATTTTTTTGGGGTAACATGTTTTGACATTTGTTTGTGAAATAGACTAGATATGGATTTTTATTGTTATATAAAATTGTAGCTTATATGAAGGTTAAACAAGACATGACTTTAGATTCATATATTTGGATATAATAGGTTAATGGGTCAGATTTGTGTTTGAAATAATTTTCACATGATATATATATATATATATCATATAAATAATAGTCTAAATTAATATAAATTAATATAATTTACAAAGAGAGGGATTCATGACTGGGATCACCGCCCTGCCAATTGGCCTAACCCATGTAATTTCACATGTAATTTCACCTCCTTGCGGCTTCCAATTGGCCTAACCCATGTAATTTCACATGTAATTTCACCTCCTTGCGGCTTCCAATTGGCCTAACCCTAATTCATATTAAATAATTTACAAGCGAACCCAAAAAGATGAACTTCAGAATACTCAAATGACTAGGGTTTTCTTCTTCTTCTTCTTTTCTTTTTTTCTTCCTTTTAAGTTTGGCTTGGGGGATGGGGCATTAAGCCCAAATTAACCACAAAGCAAAGTAACTTTGTAAGGGTTAATATTACATCAGCAACGAAGCACCAAGGAAAGTTTCGAGAACAGCCTTGCCGCTGTTGGTTTATTTGGTACCCTCACGCAACACAGTCTTCGGTTTGGTACTACCGTCCAGCGCGTTCTCACACTAAAGAAAGTAAGTGGTAATTAGTATAAAAATATTATTTGGTATCTGATCCTCTAATTTAACTTATCTTCTTCATATAGCACCTCATTTATATTTCATCCAATAAACAAAAAGTTAACACGTCACACTTAAATAAATAAATAAAAGATAATACCCTACGCAATTAAAATTAAATAAAACTTAAAAGGCAAAGACTAAACGTTAAATTTGACGTCTGGCACCATTTGATCTTATCTCCTTTTGTTTTTCAAAGTTTTTCAAAGCATCAGTCTCCAAAATCCCATTCTTTCTCCCACTTTAACTATATTATTGGTGATTTATATTTCTTTTGTAACAAAAGTTTAGATATGTAGGAGATGAAGGGCTGGTAAGCATTTAGACCATGAACACCTACAAAGATGGCTTATAGGCTTTTATTAGTATTCATGAACTATTTGCGATAAAAAGCCTTTTTCAGTAAGTAGTTCCATATTTGAGAATTTTATGTGTTTTGAAGAAAACTCAGATTGTATAACCATCACAAAAGTGCAAGGGTTTAAAGGGGGAAACTGTGAGATGAAAGTTAACATAGTTGTTGTAATTCGGGGAATTGGCAAGGGCTAGTTTTCATAGGGAAAGAGGATAGATTGTGAGTTGTGAAGAGATGTGTTTACACAAGTTGTAGGGAAAAGGGAGATGCAGAGATTGAAACAAGAGAGAAGAGAGACTGACGGCTACAACAATGCTTTGAGGTTACTTCGATTAGGCAATTTTTTTTGTTCTTCCCTAATCAAAGTAAAACTCCATGCAACATATGTTTCATACGTCTTTCTCTCAAGTAAGAGAAGGACTTTCATGAAACAGGTATAACACTATTTTGTTATTCCCGATAAATAATACTATGACACGCGTGATAACTCTTCCACGTAACATAACATTATTGACCGAAATAACAAAACATGATATTCGGGTTGCAACTAACACTACTAAAAAACTGGTCAAAGACCACAAGCATAAGGACACAATTTTAACATTGGGCACAAAAAATCATGGCACAGTCTTTATATATTTATTATTTGATATTTTTTTTAAGGAAAAGTAAGTGATTATTTAGATAGACACACAAAATTTGTGTCTTTATCTGACTGATGTGACATACCAGACATAAAAATCATTTTGTGTACAACAATTTAAAAAAATTTACATGTGTAGTAACTTCTTTAATATTTATTTTCTCAAAGCAAAGTTTAAATTTAAAACATTAACCCCCCAAAAAAAGCAATTTAAAACCGGTCTCCACATAATTATTTTGTTTTTATATATATTTTTTCTGTTTTGTGTTCTGCACGTCTCTCTCTCTCTCTCTCTCCTCTCACTTATCGTTCCCTCTATAACCAGCCCCCTCTTCCTCTTCTTCTCCTCACTTTTTTTTTTCTTTTCTTTATTCGTTCTTCGGTTCCATATCATACATGGCTGGTAAGAATTTGTTTCTATTTTTTTGTAAGAAGTTTTTGCCTTTTTTATTTATATCATAAATCTGGGATATTTATACCATTTCAACTTTACTACTATTACTTTTATTTAGGTTTGATTTTTCTGATGGGTTGTTCATACAAAATACACAACCGTTTAAATTGGTTTTTTTGTGTACTATGTTTCTTTTTTGGGTATTTTTGGTAGTGATGCTGGACGGGTATGGGAGGTGTTGTTTGAGAAACAAAGGGAGAAAGTAGGTGGCGGTGGTGCTCTCAGAGAGAGAGAGAGAGAGAAGGTGGTTTAGGTTTTTTTTGTAATCAATTTTTTTTGTGACAAATAAATACTTTGGGCACAAATGAATAATTGGTGTGCATGTATAAAAGTGAAATCAGATGCAGCAGTCAATGTGTGATAACAACTACTTCCATGCTCAAAAGTATTGAGCAAATGACACGAAAGAAGTAAATTTTTGCTTAATGAACAATGGAAACTCTTATATAGGAAACCGATCAATTTATTGTGGTTGCACCGTGGCTGTTAACGAAGAGCACGAATAATTGTGCCTTTTACACTAAAGAGCACAAATAATATTGGTGCCCAAAACCTGATATTGTAGTAGTGTAAGTTTTTCTCCTCAAGCATCACCTAAGAGAACCAAACTTTACTACAAACATAGGCCATCATGCATTCACCTCACGTTTGGGTAGATGGTGTACCTCGAGAAGCCCTCCAGGCATTGAACTCTGTCTGATATTACTGGTGGGGCTGTGCTCGTGGTTTTGACCTGTAACTCTTGTGTCTACCCCAAAAATAAAAAATAAATTCTCTTTAGGCTTACCTTAAAGTAAAACTAAAGTGCCATGTGGTGTGAAGAAGAGAAGTTAGCAGAGAAAAGCCAAATAGAGGATCCGGATCGATGAATAATACAGCTTTACATGTCAAATGAATGGATTAGTGGGAGAACTTACCATATGTATATATGTCTAAGGTGTAGCATCTCCGTGGCAGGGAATGGATCGGCATGCCTTCAAAATAAGGATGGTGTAGGCCAGAAGGGCTAAAGAAACCAGGTATATGAATGCGTTTCTCTGATAAACTTGTGGTTTCAATATTCCCTGCGGCATATCATACATCCTGGTTTCGACTGAGGATGAAGTGACCATCTTGTGGTGAAGCAAATCTTGCTTTAGAAAGGTCGAGGAGTAATAATGTTTTGTTCGCTCCCAATTTGTGACATAAGTCTGAAATGGGATGGCGAAGATGACGCAAATCAGACAGGAGAGGGAGAAAGGAATCCACCAATACTCGCACGACATGTTGCTGGGATTGTGGAAAACAGACGCGAATATGGCGCCCTGGAAGAAAATATAGCCCATCACCAGCAGCATCATAGTTGTTTCCAGATGCGTCGCTGTTTTGCCAAGTTTTTCGATCCTCTCATTCAGCTTATTCGATTCACTCTCTTGTTCTTTTGATTTAAAATCCATTTTCAGTTTTCTCAAGGCTTTGGTGTTGATGAATTCTGACCTTCCTGCAGACAAGCAGACAATATGACTAATCTTTTCTTCTTTGGGATGGCGGTAGTGGTTGGGTTTCTCGAAGGAAAAAGGCCTACTGCATTTGGTCAAAGGTTATAAGAGTAACTTTAAATTTTAAATTTTAAAGTGTTGATTTTCCCACTCCAATTTTATCTGCTTACACTCCATTTTATAACTTAAAAAAGGAGTGTAAGTGGATAAAATTGGAGTGACGAAATCATTACCCCTAATTTTAATAGAAATTTAGTGAAATACCCATTCCTAGACATAAAACTATAAATATTCCCTATACCATTCAATATATATAAACACACCCAAAAAAAACCCAAAACTGACAGCTGTTACCTTTTTTAATTTAATTAGATAAATGAAATACCTTTATTACCCATTTAGTATTAAATTAGTTTATTTGAAAAAATTTGGGCGCTCTCTCTCTCTCATCTCTCTCTGTTTGCTCTCGTCTCTCTGCGTTCGCTCCCGTCTCTTTCCAGCGATCTTGGTGCTCCGGCCACAGCCAGCCGTGAGACTGGTCAGAAAAGGACCGGCTAGGGCCGACGATCAAGTCTGGGCTAAAGCCCAGCCACATCAGCCACTCACGACGCCGCTGCGAGCTCGGAAAGGTCTGTGGATTTCGAGTTTTTCGACGTCATTTCCGGCGACTTCGGCGGTTGTTTCCGTCAATCGAGGTATGAAACTTCATCTACTTTTCGTGCTCTAGCTGTTTATGTATGTGGTTATGATAGATTTTGGAGTTTTGGAAATTAATCAATACACCCTAGATTGTGGTGTTTATGTATATGCAATTGTAGATCCAATTCTTCTTGATTTTATATGTTTATTTTTGTTATTGCCGATTTGGAGGCAAGCTATTGGATTTTATGATTTCGTTCTAATTTGTATTTAGATATTCGTTTGAGTTTTAAATTGTGATTTTAGTTTCTTTTTGTTTATAATTTGGATTGATTTCATATTCGGTTTGGTTGTGGATTTGTTGTTTGAGCTGTGGTTAGAAATTTGTGATATTCGATTTGGTTTTCATATTAATTGAGGTATGCTTTTTCAGTTGAATCTGAGTATATTCGTGTTTTTTCTGTTTTTCACTGTAAAGTTCCAGTATAAGGTAGTAACACTGCTTGTTTGCTATGAAATCCTATTTCTAATGCATATCTACCACTGTAAAGTTCTAGTATAGGGTAATAACACTGCTTGTTTGCTACGAAATCCTATTTCTAATGCATATCTACCACTGTAAAGTTCTAGTATAGGGTAATAACACTGCTTGTTTGCTACGAAATCCTATTTCTAATGCATATCTACCACTGTAAAGTTCTAGTATAGGGTAATAACACTGCTTGTTTGCTACGAAATCCTATTTCTAATGCATATCTACCACTGTAAAGTTCTAGTATAGGGTAATAACACTGCTTGTTTGCTACGAAATCCTATTTCTAATGCATATCTACCACTGTAAAGTTCTAGTATAGGGTAATAACACTGCTTGTTTGCTACGAAATCCTATTTCTAATGCATATCTACCACTGTAAAGTTCTAGTATAGGGTAATAACACTGCTTGTTTGCTACGAAATCCTATTTCTAATGCATATCTACCACTGTAAAGTTCTAGTATAGGGTAATAACACTGCTTGTTTGCTACGAAATCCTATTTCTAATGCATATCTACCACTGTAAAGTTCTAGTATAGGGTAATAACACTGCTTGTTTGCTATGAAATCCTATTTCTAATGCATATCTACCACTGTAAAGTTCCAGTATAGGGTAATAACAATGCTTGTTTGCTATGAAATCCTATTTCTAATGCACGTCTACCAGTGTTATTACCACATACTGGAACTATACAGTGGTAGACATGCATTACAAATAGGATTTCAGAGGAAACAAGCAGTATTAATACCCTATACTGGAACTTTACAGTGCTAGACGTGCATCAGAAATAGGATTTCAGAGGAAACAAGCAGTGTTATTACCCTATACTGGAACTTTACAGTGGTAGATCGAGAGATGAAGAAGACGCTTTGATGAAGACGATGACTGAAGGGACGTTTGGCAAAGATGGTTAATTGAAGTTGCTGGAAGTTACGGTTTTGTTTTCCATTTTTTTGGATAAAAGTTACGGTTTTCTAGATGGTTAAAATGTTTGGGCTTGTTTATAAATTTGGGTTGGGTTGATTTTGGGTGTCTTTTGAGTTTTTTTCTGTTGGGCTTATAAGTGGCAGCCTTGTAATATATAGTAACTTCAATACCAATTTGTTATTTAATAAATGGGTTTTGGGTGTGTTTATAAAGTGTTTTCCATATGGGATTTTTTTATAATTTCAACACCCATTTTGGGTATATTAGTGAAACTCCCTAATTTTAATGGGTTTGGTATCTATAGAATTTAAAACTTGTTTCCTATTTTTAATACCACTAGCTTTCAATCATCTTAAATATCATTCAAACGTGTTATTATTTAATGGTGACAGCGTGAGTCAACTTTTAGCGGCCCAAGTCGGTCTTTTTGTCGGTAACAAGTGTTTGAACCCGCCTCGGCGGGAACTCCAAAAGCTTTCTTAGAGCGAGATGTCAAATTTAATTGGTTTCGTTTAAAATATAACAAAACAAAAGGCCATTTCAGATGATGACGAAGAATAAACCAAAGTGGCGGCCATAAAACCAAATTTCTATCAAACTTTGGACTCTGCCTAATTATTTTAAGGATTTTCTGGATCAGGATTCACGATGGCCTACTTTTGACACGACAAATAAGGGTGCATTTTTGCTCACCACCTTAACTAAAGGTGTATGCTCACCACCACCCTTAAAGGGTGACACCTGTCCAATGGTTAACCTCAGTTAACTTAAATGTGAGAATAAAAATAAAAATTAAAAAGGACCCACATCTCGTTTCTCTCTCGGTTTTTCCTCCTTTCCCCATTAATTGAAGTTGCTGGAAGTTACGGTTTTGTTTTCCATTTTTTTGGATAAAAGTTACGGTTTTCTATATGGTTAAAATGTTTGGGCTTGTTTATAAATTTGGGTTGGGTTGATTTTGGGTGTCTTTTGAGTTTTTTTCTGTTGGGCTTATAAGTGGCAGCCTTGTAATATATAGTAACTTCAATACCAATTTGTTATTTAATAAATGGGTTTTGGGTGTGTTTATAAAGTGTTTTCCATATGGGGTTTTTTTATAATTTCACTTTTATAATTTCAACACCCATTTTGGGTATATTAGTGAAACTCCCTAATTTTAATGGGTTTGGTATCTATAGAATTTAAAACTTGTTTCCTATTTTTAATACCACTAGCTTTCAATCATCTTAAATATCATTCAAACGTGTTATTATTTAATGGTGACAGCGTGAGTCAACTTTTAGCGGCCCAAGTCGGTCTTTTTGTCGGTAACAAGTGTTTGAACCCGCCTCGGCGGGAACTCCAAAAGCTTTCTTAGAGCGAGATGTCAAATTTAATTGGTTTCGTTTAAAATATAACAAAACAAAAGGCCATTTCAGATGATGACGAAGAATAAACCAAAGTGGCGGCCATAAAACCAAATTTCTATCAAACTTTGGACTCTGCCTAATTATTTTAAGGATTTTCTGGATCAGGATTCACGATGGCCTACTTTTGACACGACAAATAATGGCGTGCAAAGTGAGTGCGTTAATTTTTTATTGTAAGAAATATTATAATAAGGTGAAGGAAATATCATTGTCGTTGGATATAATTTCAAACTTCGCATGTGAACAGTGCTATGCAAGGTTAACCATTGGACAGGTGTCACCCTTTAAGGGTGATGGTGAGCATACACCTTTAGTTAAGGTGGTGAGCAAAAATGCACCCCGACAAATAATGGCGTGCAAAGTGAGTGCGTTAATTTTTTATTGTAAGAAATATTATAATAAGGTGAAGGAAATATCATTGTCGTTGGATATAATTTCAAACTTCGCATGTGAACAGTGCTATGCTTTAGTTAAAAATTCTGTATCTTGCCCAAGTTATTAATTTTGATTTTTAATGTTCAATACTTTAAAATGTGAAGTGAATTGTCTGATTTATCCCTAATATTAACAACAACAAAAAATTTAACTAACTAAATTACAGTACTAAAACAAAACTCATGTACAGTACAAGTTCACGAACCTTATTATAATTTGAAAATATTTTTGTTAATCACTTTAACCCAAAGTGTACTTTTATCATATTTTTCAGTACTTGACTTATATTCATATGCATAACCATAGTTAACTCTTTATTTTGTATTTGTGGAACCATAATTATAACTATGAACACGTATCAAGTGTTGAAAATGATGATGATGATACACGTGTCAAGAAACTTTTGTTGTGGTTAATTTAATTTCGTTATTTGCTAAGCTCGTGGGCCTTGGAATCTCAAACAGCTGTAGGTGATTTATATATGAAGGAGAACTTGTCCAAGCTGTGTGTCTAAAGAAAATATTAAGTATTTGTGGGTACTTAGAAGTCGTT